AAACACCCCCACTGAATGTTAGTAAGGGGGCAACAGTCCCCTTACATATGGCCCACGGGCCAGATCCGGCCCTGTCAGGGCTTTGGATACAACCCACGGGATTGCCACTCCTGTGGCGCCATGGGTCCCGCGCCACTCCCAGAAGTGGCCGGCACCACGTCCCTGCGGCCCCTGGGAGAGGGGGGCCAGAGGGCCCCACGCCCGGCCCCCGCCCGTGGGGACCTCCCCCGAAGCTCCCATTGGGCAGGAACGGGAAACTGTGGCCAATGGGAGCTTCAGGGGAGGTACCCATAGGCGAGGGCAGCACGCGGAGCCCTCTGCCCCCCCCCCCAGGGCCACAGGGACATGGTGCTGGCTGCTTCCCGGAGCGGCGCAGGGCTAGGTCCAGGGCAGGCAAACAGGGAGCCTGCCCTGGCCCCGGTGCACACTGCTGTCACCCTGGAGCCACTCCAGGTAAGTGGCGGCGGGCCGGAGCCCGCACCCTGAACCCTCCTGCACCCTGCATCCTAACCCCCTGCCACACCCCAACCCCCTGCCCTAAGCCCCCTGCCTGCACCCCAAACCCCTGCTGCACCTCACACCCCTTCTGCACCCCAACCCCCTGCCCTGAGCCCCCTCCTGCACTGCAGGGCCGCCCAGAGGGGGAGGCAAGTGGGGCAATTTGCCCCAGGCCCCGGGCCCCACAGGGGCCCCCACGAGAGTTTTTCGGGGTCCTTCACTCGCTCCGGGGGCCCCGGAAAACTCTCGTGGGGCCCGGGCCGCCGGAGCTTCTTCCGCTCCAGGTCTTCGGCGGCAATTCGGTGGCGGGGGGTCCTTCCGCCCTGGGACCCGCCACCAAAGTGCCCTGAAGACCCGCGGTGGGGGGTCCTTCCGCCCCGGGACCCGCCGCCGAAGTGCCGGGTCTTCGGCGGCAATTCGGCAGCGGGGGCCCCCTGTCACCGAAGACCCCAGGCCCCCTGAATCCTCTTGGCAGCCCTGCCACACTGTGCACCCCTCCTCTGCCCCAACCCCTTGCCCTGAGCCCCTTCCTGCACACCGCACCCGCACACACACCCCGCACTCCCTCCCGCACCCCAACCCCCTGCCCCAGCCCTACGTTCATGGCCCTGCATGCAATTTCCCCACCCCGATATGTCCCTCGGGCCAAAAAGTTTGTCCACCCCAGGTCTACACTAAAAGCACTACAGCACTGATGCAGTGGTGCCATTGTAGCGCGTCTGGTGAAGACACTCTATGCCAATGGGAGAGAGCTCTCCCGTTGGCATAATTTCTCCACCTCCCACAAGATGCGGTAGCTATGTCAGAGGGAGAAGCTCTGTCCACACCGGTGCTTAGGTCAGTGTAACTTACGTCACTCAGGGTGTGGATTATTCACACCCCTGAGCAACATAATTTATACCGAAGTTAGTGGTAGTGTAGACAAGGGCTAAGGGTATGTCTCCACTGCAATGTGGGGTGTGGTTGAAGCTCAGGTAGGCGTAGCCGCACAACCTTTAACCTAGCTACCACAGCTTGAAGGGGTTTCCATCATATACAGGGTTTACAGTTTGGTTCAATGGCTCTCAGCACCCCCACTGTACAAATTGTTCCAGCACCCCCTGAGTATAGACAGGGCCGGCTCCAGGCACCAGCTTGGCAAGCAAGTGCTTGGGGCAGCCACTCCGGAGAGGGGCAGCACGTCCAGCTATTCGGCGGCAATTCGGCGGACGGTCCCTCACTCCCGCTCGGAGCGAAGGACCTCCCGCTGAATTGCCGCCACAGTTCGCGGCTTTTTTTTTTTTTTTTTGGCTGTTTTTGGTGGCAAAAACCCTGGAGCCAGCCCTGAGTATAGAAGTGATTGGTCATGAATTTACACCTCATTGTTTCAGTTTGGTAACTTTTTTTCCTCCCCTTTCTTTGTTGAAATCATTGAAAATGAAAAAAATCTTTGACCGAAAACTGCCAGAGGCCAAAAAAAAAGTTTTGGAGTGTGGATGAAAATTTTGGAGGAAAGCAGACATTTTCAGTGAAAATTTTCATTCCATTGAAGAAAATTGTGATGGAAAATTTTTAACCAACCCTACTGAAGAGCCCAGTTGTCAGCAAACAGTTACAAAATCCATTGCTATAACAAGTGAAGCAAAATTCCTTTGAGAAACACAAATGCACCTACTGGTAAAAGTTGGAGGGAGGGGAGAGGATGCAACACATACACATGCCCTGCACCAGTGGAGGTGAGAGAGTGTTTTGGACCCTTACTGCGATATTTTTTTAAAAATAAACATGATTAGGGACTTCACTGAAAGGCCAAGCACACGGAAAAGCTCATTCAAATACAAACTTCTGAGGAAAAATAACCAAACTGGGAAGAGGCTACAGAAAATGACTGGCCAAGTAAATGGTTTGTTTAAACATCTTCTTCTTTCAGGTTTGCTCCAAGATGAAAATCCCATGTTTAAAAGGCATTCAAATATCTGTAGCAACAGTCTGACACATCTGTGAAACTGTCTTCCCCAAAGTATTTCCCCACAAATTCTAAGGGCTGGAGTGAGCTCACAGTAGTCATCAGTTACTCACCCGAGTTGTTCTTCAATTATTTGTATTGTGCAGAAACAGGGACTGGTGAGTAAACCCCAGTGCATTTATTTTTCTATACACTATCTGCTAATGATTACTCTTTACTAGATGTAGCTGAAGTACAACTTAATATACACTTGAGGCAAATGTTTTAAAATAGGATTTGGAGACCACTGCTGGTATTTGTTACTAAAGTTATATAATCATAGACATTCTTTACTTCCTCTGTTTCTTGGAGTAAATATTCTGTCTACTCTGCCTCTGAATTTACATCAACTCTTTTCCTTCTGTCATTTTATTTTCCTCTTAAAATGGAATGGGGGAGATTAAGGATCATCAAAATGAGGTTTTTATGCAGGAAAAAATGGTAGAAACATAGAGATAATATATATAGTATGTTGCTATCTGAATTTTAGAACAAATGGTTCACTATGGGGACATCTTGTAGAATTTAATAGAAGACAATACCTTTGGGAAGATTTTTTTTTTTAACTAAGCAATAGAATTTAAATTTCCTTGCTATAGAATTCTGCAGGATGGGTCAAAAATCTTGTAGGAAAAAAAAGCTGATGCTCTATTAAAGTCTATATGTTTTTAGAATGATTTTGATAAAATGCTGTTAAATACAGGCCCACCAAATGAACCTTCCCAGCGCCCTACCTTTCTTGGAGCTCGCTGGCTTTTGCTTGAATGTGGAAGCTTGCTGGACTGTAACCTGCACAAGGCAAAAGAGGCACAGAAGCAAGCAGGCGCCTCGAAACTCCATTCTGCTGCTGCTCCTGACCGAGTGGATTTGGAGTGGCGTTGATCTGCCCTGAGCCAGCCTTCTTAACACAGGCTTTAATCAAAAATGTCTGTCCAAGAAATCCTTCCAGACTCGCTCACAGCATTCCAGGGACAAGAGGGAGAAAGAATTCCACTGAGAGCTGGGACAAATGCAGTATCCTGGGCTTAGAGAAAGTTCAGAGAATTCCAGTGGACAAAGGAAAAAAGGGATGATTCTTTTATTTCTTAGGATGTTTTTTTTTTAAGCACGTCAGATTGTGAGGCAAATTAACCCTGGTTAGTGATTTAAAAATATAGATGTTTATTGTGTCCTGAATGATTTCCTGTGGATTTCAGTAAAGCTCTAAGGGATCGATCCTGTGTTCCTTATACATCCCAAACTCCCATTGGAATCACTGGGAGTTCGGGATGCAAAATGAGTGTAAATTTGGCTCCTAAGGCTATAGCTGGGACCCCCAGATTGTCCCCTCCCAGGAGGATACTCCACAGGGTTCCTTTCAACAGGAAAACATCAGGAAGGTCTCATCATGGTATTTCCCCCAAATTGTTTGGCATGGGCTGCCCCTTGACTGCAACAAAGTGAGATTCCCTGATACTGGAAGCCAGGGCCATTCACACGGAAGCCCCATGCCTCCATGTTGTCCATCTGCCCCCTTTCAGCTCTCTCTAACTCTCCACCATGGCTTTCTCTGCAGGCAGCAACCCTCGGTTGCCATGAGAAGTGGGAGTTAGAGGAGAAGAGTGGAGAACAAGTATTGTTCCATCTCCTCAGTGCCTAGGGAACCATCTCACAAGTTAATATAGTTGGACCAGCTTCTGAGGGGTGGGATTCCCCAGGGGGTTGAGGGGAGGAACAATGTGTTTCCATCATCCTTTCCTCTCCTGATCCCACCCCCTCACATGTGCTGGCTCACTATGTCCAGGAAGAATGGGAGATAATGCCATGAAGGGGGCTGGTCCCTTTTCCCCTTCGTTTGGGCCAGAGGAGCCTGCAGCTGCACAAGGCCTGATCTGGCTCTAGAGCATTTAGTATAATTTTCAACATAGTTTTGTATTGGTAAATGATAAAATCATAGAAATGTAGCTCTGGAATGGACCTCAAGAGGTCATATGTTCCAGTCCCCTGCACTGAGTCAGGACTCAGTATTATTCTAGACCATCCCTGACAGGTGTTTTTCTAATTGTTCTTAAAAACCGCCAATGACACAGATTTCATCAACCTCCCTAGGTAATTTGTTCCAGAGCTTAAGTACCCTGACAGGTAGGAAACTTTTCCTAATGTTTAATCTAAATCTTGCTTACAACACTCCTGCTAAGACATCCCAGAATGATGTTCACTTTGTTTGCAAACATGTGTTACGTTGTTGACTCATATTTAGTTTGTGATCCATGAAAAACCCCAGATCCTTTTCTGCAGTGCTCCGTCCTAGGCAGTCATTTCCCATTTTGTATTTCCTTCCTAAGTGCAGTACTTTAAAGTTGTCCTTATTGAATGTCATCCTATTTATTTCAGACAATTTTCCCAGTTTATCTAGATCATTTTTAATTGTAATCCTGTCCTCAAAGCACTTGCAACCCCTCCCAGCTTGGTGTCTTCTGAAAACTTTAAAAGTGTACTCTCTTTGCCATTATCCATAATCATTTGTGAAAATATTGAATAGAACCAGACCCAGGACAAATCCCTATGGGGCCCCACTCGATATGCCCTTCCAACTTGATTGTAAACAATTGATAACTACTCTCTGAGTATGGTTTTTCCAACCAGTTGAGTACCACCTTGTAGTAAGTTTGTCTAGACTATATTTCCCTAGTTTGGTTATGAAAAGCTCATGTAAGACAGTATTTAAAGCCTTACTAAAGTCAATGTATATTGCATCTACTGCTTCCCCCTATCCACAAGGCTTGTCAAAGGAGGACATTAGATTTCTTCAGCCCGTTTCTCAAGTATTCTAGGATGTATTTCATCAGGCCCTGCCAACTTGAAGAAAACTAACTTGTTTAAGTAATTCTTAACTTCTTGTTTCCCTATTTTAGCTTCAGATCTTGTCCCATTTACACCGATGTTCACTATGTTAGTTGTCTGATCACTGCTAACTTTTTTTGGTAAAAACAGAAACAAAAAAGGCATTTAACACATTGTCTTTCCCTCCTCATTGAGTAATAGGCCTACGCTGCTTGGTCTTCCTCTTGCTTCTAGTGTATTTGTAAAATGTTTTCTTGTTGCCCATCAGTGAAATCCTTGCTGATCTTAAACACAAAAAAGAAGCTTACAAGAAGTGGAAGATTGGACAAATGACCAGGGAGGAGTATAAAAATATTGCTCAGGCATGCAGGAGTGAAATCAGGAAGGCCAAATCACACTTGGAGTTGCAGCTAGCAAGAGATGTTAAGAGTAACAAGAAGGGTTTCTTCAGGTATGTTAGCAACAAGAAGAAAGTAAAGGGCAGTGTGGGCCCCTTACTGAATGAGGGAGGCAACCTAGTGACAGAGGATGTGGAAAAAACTAATGTACTCAATGCTTTTTTTGCCTCTGTCTTCACAAACAAGGTCAGCTCCCAGACTGCTACACTGGCCAGCACAGTATGGGGAGGAGGTGACCAGCCCTCTGTGGAGAAAGAAGTGGTTCGGGACTATTTAGAAAAACTGAATGAGCACAAGTCCATGGGGCCGGATGCACTGCATCTGAGGGTGCTAAAGGAGTTGGTGGATGTGATTGCAGAGCCATTGACCATTATCTCTGAAAACTCATGGCGATCGAGGGAGGTCCCAGATGACTGGAAAAAGGCTAATGTAGTGCCCATCTTTAAAAAAGGGAAGAAGGAGGATCCAGGGAACTACAGGCCAGTCAGCCTCACCTCAGTCCCTGGAAAAATCATGGAGCAGGTCCTCAAGGAATCAATTCTGAAGCACTTAGAGGAGAGGAAAGTGATCAGGAACAGTCAGCATGGATTCACCAAGGGCAAGTCATGCCTGACTAACCTAATTGCCTTCTATGATGAGATAACTGGGTCTGTGGATGAGGGGAAAGCAGTGGATGTGTTATTCTTTGACTTTAGCAAAGCTTTTGATACGGTCTCCCACAGTATTCTTGCCAGCAAGTTAAAGAAGTATGGGCTGGATGAATGGACTATAAGGTGGATAGAAAGCTGGCTAGATCGTCGGGCTCAACGGGTAGTGATCAATGGCTCCGTGTCTAGTTGGCAGCCGGTTTCAAGCAGAGTGCCCCAAGGGTCGGTCCTGGAGCCGGTTTTGTTCACTATCTTCATTAATGATCTGAAGGATGGCATGGACTGCACTCTCAGCAAGTTTGCAGATGACACTAAACTGGGAGGAGTGGTAGATACGCTGGAGAGTAGGGATAGGATACAGAGGGACCTAGACAAATTAGAGGATGGGGCCAAAAGAAACCTGATGAGGTTCAACAAGGACAAGTGCAGAGTCCTGCACTTAGGACGGAAGAATCCCATTCACTGTTACACACTAGGGACCGAATGGCTAGGAAGCAGTTCTGCAGAAAACGACCTAGGGGTTACAGTGGACGAGAAGCTGGATATGAGTCGACAGTGTGCCCTTGTTGCCAAGAAGGCTAACGGCATTTTGGGCTGTATAAGTAGGGGCATTGCCAGCAGATGGAGGGACGTGATCATTCCCCTCTATTCGACATTGGTGAGGCCTCATCTGGAGTACTGTGTCCAGTTTTGGGCCCCACACTACAAGAAGGATGTGGAAAAATTGGAAAGAGTCCAGCGGAGGGCAACAAAAATGATTAGGGGGCGGGAGCACATGACTTATGAGGAGAGGCTGAGGGAACTGGGATTGTTTAGTCTGCAGAAGAGAAGAATGAGGGGGGATTTGATAGCTGCTTTCAACTACCTGAAAGGGGGTTCCAAAGAGGATGGATCTAGGCTGTTCTCAGTGGTAGCAGATGACAGAACAAAGAGTAATGGTCTCAAGTTGCAGTGGGGGAGGTTTAGGTTGGATATTAGGAAAAACTTTTTCACTAGGAGAGTGGTGAAGCACTGGAATGGGTTAGCTAGGGAGGTGGTGGAATCTACCTTCCTTAGAGGTTTTTAAGGTCAGGCTTGACAAAGCCCTGGCTGGGATGATTTAGTTGGGAATTGGTCCTGCTTTGAGCAGGGGGTTGGACTAGATGACCTCCTGAGGTCCCTTCCAACCCTGATATTCTATGATTCTATGATTCTATGATCATGTCCCTAGCTAGTTTAATCTCATTTTGTGCCTTGGCCTTTCTAATTTTGTCCCTACATGCTTGTCCCTCTATTGATCCTTTGTAATTTGATCTAGTTTCCACTTTTTGTATGACTCTCTTTTGAGTTTCGGGTCATTGAGGGTCTCTTGGTTAAGCCAGGTGATCTCTTACCATACTTCCTAGCATCAAAGAAAGTGGAATGCCAAGCATTCTTTATGGCTCGGTGCTCTTTGCATTGTACAGCACTGTTATGCTGCTGCCTGACCGAAGAGAACCATTTTCTAGCTTGTACATTGGTAATGACTTTCCTCTGTTTGTTTCTTAAATAATTGATAGTCCAGGGCCCAACCTTACACCTACTGAAGTCAACTGGAGTTTTTGACAGTGATGTCAAAGGCAGCAGGATTGGGCCTATGCATTTCACGGACCAAAAAGACAGATCAGTGTTGTAAACTGCAGCCTCCTAGTGCCCTTCACTGGATCCTCACAATTGTCTAGCTTCTGTACTCCAGACCAGATATTGATCCCAAGCTACAGGTTGGCCCTTTTACTTTGCCCAGGCATTATAGCATTGGTACCTGTTTTTCAAGTGATAAAAGGGGGAAAAAGTCACACAAATACTTCTTCTGTGTAAGGAAAAACAACTTCCCTGGGTGATGAGGGCAGAAGGCTCCTGGGATTGGCTATGGGATAGCGAGCCTTTTGTTTCTAGGTTTTAGTCCTAATCCAGCCCACATTGTTCAGTGTCGGAAAATCCAATGGCTGTTTGGTCTGTTTCCAGCTGCAGTATAGATATACGCAGGTGATCTGTGGAGTAGCTGTCACTCTACAGCCAATTGTAGCCTAGGTCAGGCCTCCTAAGATGTCAGAAGGTTTTCTTGACCAATTAAAACTGAAACAAAAGTGCCTTTCAGCATTCGGTGT